ACTGTGAAACCTCATGCAGATTATTCGTATTTATAGTTTGATTGAAAAACTATCAACTAAAAGTCATTATGGAGCTGCTGTATTTTTTTTATCGGTAATATTACACTTATTATGTTTGATTTTATTTCCTGTAGCAGGACATTAAGATGAATTTAGCTAAATAATTTTTTGAATGTTAGAGAGTTACATTTAGTTTTGAGATAATGTGTAAATATAATAAAAACATCAAACAGTGATTATTTTGACTGATGATGTTAGTTATTAGGATAAGGCTTAGAAAAGCTAATTAAATCAAATATTCTCATTGATTTTATAGCCAGCCTGTTCATTCAAAGAAAAAACAGATTTAAGTTGAAATAATCTGAATAATCAGAATTGCCAATCTATTGTAGTAGGAAAATCAAGCTTCGAATTAAAAGGACTGTATTGGAAATAAGCTGAAATGACACCCTACTATACCACCTAAATGTCAAACAAGTGTCATTTGATTACATGTACAGAAATTAAAACCATGTTTTGCCATAAATGAACTTACCACATTCTCATCAAACCACTGCAGAAATAAGAACCCACCGGACGGTTTTGAAACCTGGACAGCTGCCTAGGAATACTTACTCCTTTAATAACTCATTGACTTCCTATTCTCTCAATTTGCTTGCATTTATCATCACTACTTACAGTATGTGCTCTTTCACTGTATAACAAGTTTAGGAAAGCTCAACTCTCTCAGTTTGGGGCCGAGATATGGTGGGGAGAATTTTAGACTGTAGGTAGACGGGTCTAGGTGTGGCTTTGCTAGTTTGGAAGGTTGGTATAGAGGGAGGAGATGTAGTTCCCAAAATGCCACATTTTGGCCACCAGACATTCGTTGGGTATCATATTAAGCAGCCTCTTCCAATCTTCATATCTTGAATGCTTTCCTTAAAGTGTTCTAAACACTTCCAACTTGAAGAGGGGTTAAAATACAGATGTAGCAAACAAATTATAGAGTATAAAGTTAGAACTAACAGCTATTCTCATGTTATCATTCTCCATGGGGCCAATGACATATATTAAATATGTGATACCAAAGTGAGGCACTTCAGGTAGTGACTGAGTTGCAGGACGCAAGGACTGGGAATTCACTAAGTTCTGCTCTTGTAGTACATTGTTGGCTTTCAGAATAATACCCTAGAGTCCTCCAGGGAAAGATATGAATGTTCCTGTAATAGAGAAGCAGATGTTATAGCTAACACTGAGGTAGGAAAGATGGATATAACTCATACCACCTAAAGTTTCACTTAAAGTAATGTTTACATAAAGTTGATTTAGAAATCATGAGCGTTTCCTTGTTTGTAATGACCAACTTCAACACAAAATCAGAGATGTAGCAGTGTGAGCTACATACAGTGACAATCAACATGGTGCTGTTACAAATATAGATTGTGTTTCCCAATCCCTCTGCTTCTTTCTGTGTGTATTCCTGCAACTGTCCATATCAAAGTTCTGTGTTCTGTAAAAGCCTTCGGTGGTGAGAGCTACTGCGTGCTTTTTTGTCATATTCAAACATGACCAGCAGCAAATGTACTTAAATCATTTTTCAGCCAATTCCTTGTCATTTCTGGAGAAAGTAGTAAATTTATTTATAGCAGTAAGAAAAATATGAGAGAAACTTTGTAGTGCCAAATTTCGTTAGTACCTGGGTTAACCTAATTGTTTTCTAATCAAATACTTGTGAGTATTTAATTTTTTGGGTCAAAGTTGCCTGTTTATTATGGAGATTTTACCCATAAATGCAAAAAGTGACATTCACACTAAATGACATTAATATATTATTGGAGAATAACTATTTGGCTATGTGGACATGATATGCTTTCTAAATATACTTTCCAGAAATATATTGTCATTGGGAGGCTACTAAAAATAAAATCTTCTAATTTTTAACGTTGTTAATGCATGTTACAGGAAAAATAAAGAATATAAAAGCAATAAAACAAAGATTGATTTGTGGCAAATGAACAATTCAGAATTTTTTGCCTAAGACACACTTTAGCAATTTGGGGCATTAATTAGCTGAATGAAATGTTAGCAGTCCCTGGCAAGGTGAGAAGCTGGAAAGGCCAAGACTTAAAATCCTGAGAGTTCATGGAGCATTGTCAGAGAGAGCCATTCTGGGGACAATACAGCAAATCACAGCTATTTGATTAATCAAATCAGTTCTCTATTGTACAAGTACAAAGAGATGATGTCACTGGAATCTGATTTGGAATTGAGTGCTTGCAGATTAATAAGCTTGTATAGACTGTGCCTTCCAATGTTTTGCCTGGAAAAGGATAAATTCATTAGAAATTTGGACAGAGACAACATTAGATAACCATATTGGAGTTCAAGTAGCCAACATAGGGAAAAAGCTAACAATGGAAAGAATTAGTTTAATAATCCCAACATTATGCTTTTGACAGTGAAATTAATTATTGAATACAATTACATGATTAGTCATTGCTTATTACTAAAAATGTGAACATGGTTTTAAGCATATGTAAATTTAATTGGCAAAAAAAAAATTCACAGTAATTTCAGCTAAATAGCAAACAGTGTCAAGAGAAGTCGGAGATGTTTGAGGCTTTGTAAAGAGAAGCTCAGAGCATTCAGTTTGGCACCATTACCTCTTTATTTCTAGAAACTCACTATGTAGTACCCTGAAACTGGATGTCCAACACCACATAATGATAAGACCTGACATTTCCTGTGTGCTCACCAGGCATTCTCAACATTTTGCACGTATTAACTGATTAATAGGATCAACTACTTTTTTGAGGCAAATGCTATTATTATTATTGTCCCTCTTTTACAGGTAAATGATCTGCTTCAGGTCACAGTTCTAGTGAGTAGATTGCAACTCTCCCAGAAATTGTGTTCTTATCTGCTAAATAATACTGCTTCTATCATTGAACTTTTATGTAAAACATAAAATTGTCATGAATCAGCAAGAGTCAATTGTGCCAAAAATAAATTCTTTGTGTAAAGATAAAAAGGATAGATGAAGTCTAATTTAATCTTTTTTTTTTTTCTGTAGTGTACACATTTTGCCACAATTCCTGAGTTCTGGGAGATCCTTTGCAGTTTACAATGGACATTCACAGTTATAGAAAGAGTAGAATTCACATTTTTATCTTTTTCAGCAGTAGGGCTCTAGACATTTTTCACAAACAGTTGATTTCAGTCATTAATTTAAAGCAATTTGCTCATCTCAAAATAGAGCAGAGTTTTGTGATAATTCTTATTTTAAACAGCTCCTCATGCCAGACAAGAGCTCTAGAAGAGGGAGAGGTCAAACTTAATGATGACAAATAGATCTCACTTCTCTGCTAGACTAGAATGATGCTTTCCTTCTTTTTTTTCCTTTTTTTTTTTTAATCTTTATTCCAGCCCCTGTTCCTGAATGGTACAGAAGCACCAACCACCATCCATCTCTGCACAAACTTGCCAGCTAAGATCAGCATGGGCCTTCCCCCAACCTATCTGTAATGCCCTGGGAGAACACAACTTCATGTCTATTTAGAAACATGCCTCTAATAAGTTATTTTATTATTGTTTATAACATTTTAGTTTATTCCTAGAGTAGATTTTTTTATTTTTATTGCCTACAACCACAAAAATTATTCAGATATTTTATAAAGTTCTATAAATATACCATATTACTACTGGCTGCATAATATCTTCCTTGATTACAAATTTAACAATATACGATAAAAAAATCCTTAATCACATGTTGTACTTTCAAGATCCCCCTTAAACCTGATAACTAGAGACAGCCATTTCACTTGTATAGAGAAAATTAAATTTGTTTATCATGGATTACTGTAATGATTGTATTTTGGTAAAACATCCAGGTGAGAATGTTAGAGTTGTAATTTGAGGGGCATTTGAAGGTTAAAATGAAACAGTCAAGAGTTATGGATGCACAGCTTTTTCTCTTGCATTTGGCAAAAGAAATTGATTCTTAGAAAAGTCAATTTGTCCATTGTTGTTAGTACGTATGGATGATGGAATTACTTTCATGAATACTATTCTTATTTAGAATATAAATTCTGTAACATGCCTAAAGAATAAGAAAAGATTTTTGTGTTCAAAGTTTTTTTATATGAAACAAGCAGGCTGACTTATAATTCCAAATATTTACAGTTTTGAAACTTGTATTACTTACATTTTTATTGTGAGAAGTCAGTTATATTTCAAAGCTTGGTTTGAGAGATATTTTGGGCCAGGAACTTTTTCTTCATGATACTTACTGATAAACTTCAGTAGACAGAAATATTTCATTACTCTAATGAAAGAGCGATGTTGACTGAATGTAGATTTTATGTTGTTAATTAGACAATAAGAACTTAGTAAGGGCATACTTTTAGATAGACCACTGATGTGAGAAGGTGAAAATCATCAGTTAATTCATTAAGGAACTAGAGTAGCAGGGTTTTCATTGTTTAAATTATTAAGCTAGACATTGGGAAAGCATAATTCTTAGACATGAACTCAAAGACATACAGGAAAGTTTACTTTTAACTTGGTGCCACATGCAAAGGTAGATATCAATATGGAGTGAGGGCCCAAGGAAGAGTTTTTATCTACATTTGCTTAAAAGGTCATGTTTAGAGAAGTCATTTTAAGGAAACAATACTCTTTTCTATGGAAATCAGATGAATCATAAAAGCAAACACTTTAATATCTTTTTAGCAGATTTTCATGGAAAGTGTTTTGGTTTCACTGTACGTTTACAGCTCTGATGGAATTCCCAATTGGGTTTTAGAAACCAAAACTCTGTTATGCAGTCTTGAATATAGTGGTCTATCATGAAGTGTTGAACTAGCTTTCTAGATACTTAAAATACAGCTGGAGTTTTCCTTTATCTAGGGACAAAGCATACGAGGTATTGTGAAAAAGAAAATTAATTTTGCATTGACGTTCTGGGTGTTGGTGATAATTTGTAGTGACATTATGCCTATTGGTTATGATTGTGACAGGCAGACAGACTGAATTCAAATGGACATTACAAGAGCCAAATTTGATAGTCATAGCATTGGAAATTTCTGCCATGAGGAGAGCAGAAGTTTTCCAATATGTGTTTTGTTTTCTACCTCCACAATTATGGATTAATATACATCAATTCCAGGCAGTTGAGGAATGACATGAGAGCATTAATGGAACTGGACAGCATTACACTGGTGAAGTGAAAATTCTGTAATAATTTTTCTGCAGTGATGCAGTAGGCAAGGCAAAGAGGTACCAGCTCCTATCCTTTGTATCTTCAGAATTTCAAGATAAAGAATGAAAAGAGAAACGGAAACCTATGTAACTAAGGCTGGCATAATAATTTTTCTCATCAAATACATAAATCATTGTTCACACACATCAAGAATTATACAACTGAATGACCCCATACTGGATCATTCTACAGTGTATGATTTTCTCCATTTAATTGCAGACACTTTCATCTCTTAAAAATATTTATAGGACAGGTATGTTTTGTCCAAGAAGAAAATTCAATTAGATGCAAAAATGAATAACACAAGTCTTATATATGATTATATACATTTTGCTTTATGAAATGTCTCTGAGGGGAAAATATTTTTCCATGCCTTTTTAAAGTTTTAGTAAAAATATTTTAACTCCAGTATTTTGAAGTCTCCCTTAATGTCAACTCTTTTTTTCTACTAAAAAGTTTATCTATCATATTTAGAACCATGGCAATATTTTCTATTTCTAAGGCTGTGTAGTTTTTTTCAAGTGAACTGAGAAATCTTTAACTGTCTGTATTGCAAATTGATTACTTCCATAGTAGTGCTTTAATACAATTTCTGTTTTTCAACTTTAATTTGGTAAACTTTTTGCACTTATTTATGCATAGATTTTTGATAGGCATGCTAATCTTAAGATTTTTGATAATGTGATTTTTTGAGATGTTTATTTAGTAGATGTCAACTTCTTTTCCTTAATTGCATGAGTTATATTTTTTTAACCACAAAATGCATTTAAAAACTATACAAGGATTAGCAAAAGTAAACTACAGTAATAATAAAATGACTTATTTTGTGTCACTTTTACAGATTCAGCTAACTTAGGTAATGGTATTCTGATAATCACAGTATTTTTTTTTTAAGATTTTGGTTTTTTATTACCTCTTGAAATAGTAGAATTAAAGCCAAAAAATTCAGAGTATGCCAAATTTAAGATTTTGTTTAGAAAATAGATAAACCACAAACTTGTTAATCATACTATCTTTGAGATGATTGTAACTGGGATTTTTTAATATACAGGATAGCATTAAAACAGAATTATAAAGTCTATTAATGATAATGATGGAGTTCAAAATGCATATAAAATGAAATGATATCTTTAAGCTTTCAGTAAATTTGTTACCCAATTTAAGAATATTTGTAGCCTTATGAAGCCTTATTTATATTTATTTAACTTCAAAAATTAAGGAAGACTCAAAGGATATTTTAAATTCTTCTTTAGTTTCTAACATTATGATAGCATGGTCAAGAGACTGGTATGCCTTAATTTAGTGTGAATGTATACTTACTTTATAGTCAAACGAATCATTGCTTTGCTACTGTCAAGGTCTTAGAGTACTGTGTTGAGACGACGTAGCGATTTGCTTAATTAACCCCTACTCATTTTACAGGGAAAGAAATAAGATCACATATTACTTTGGCAATCACATATTACTTAAATTATATTTAATCTCTCTATTACTCTGGAAATATACCAGTACACCCACACATGCACACACACAAAAAACCCTAATGCAAATATGGAGTCACTCATAAGTCAATATGTTTCTTCCTCTCATAAACCGGATGTTAATAGTGCTGATGGCATTTCTCTGTGACTGAAAAATAAGTTTCCATGCCTAGACCGTGCAAAGCCCATGTTTTGCAGGTTTATGGTCCTTATTAAAAGTAGATGAAGTCTGCATTTCTGTGTGTCCTCTGCATAGCCTCCTTAATATCACTGACTCCTTGCAGAAAGTGCATATGCTTTTCATTCAGACCAGTAAGAGGCAACTTGGGGAGTTATAAAGATACTTGACGTGCTGCCCACTGCGTTAAAACAGTGAGCAACTGGTACTGGAAAAACTTAGGAGAATTCAACCTGTTTTGCTTGTTTCCTGATGGGCTTTTAGACACAGTAATAGCCTAGTATAATAAATATATAAAAATGCAGCTTCAGTTTACATTACAATAGTTTTTCTCATATTGCTTTTGTGGACAGACATAAAAAATAACAACAATAATAATATGCTCCTAGTCATTCTATAATTGCATTCTGCTATTACCCAGCAATTTTTGTAGATGTAGCCAGATAACCATATTACTCATTATTTCAATGCAAAGTACATCTTTTCAATCATTATTGCCTAAATAACTTTAGAATATGATCATTGAGTGGTCCTTCTTCCTGCTTCACCACACCAAAATAGGTTGGTATGTTTGTTTGCTTTTCCTCTCTTTTACTTTTAAAAGCATTATATAGAAAATAGTTTTTTTAATTAAAAAAACTTGGTTATTTATTTTCTGTTTTGCTTCTAAAAATAACCACATTTTACATACCCCACATAAATTGCCACGTGTAACCATGAGTTAAAAATAATTAAATGTGACTGAAAAAAATCTCTCTTATTGTGTTATAATGTATGAATAATAATAAATGTAAAACACTTGGCATCACACTTTCCTATAATAATATTAGTCTGTAGGTAGCATTTACAATATGGTATATCCTATTGCTACTTTGTGGAATGAATTCTTGAGATTCTTATAAGGCACTACACAAAACATTATTATTAAAGAATTATAGGGGAAATTTTCCTGATTGAAAATGATACTTAAGGTATTATTTTAAATAAGTACGTTCCAGAGTAGATAAGAAGCTCAGTGTAGCAATGTATTTCTATTTTGATTTCAAATTAAATTTTTATTACACAAAAACAAATTGGCACAAGAATTAGATGATATGTTTTAGAAAACTTAAATTAGCCAAAATAATGTTGAAATGTGTTATATGGATAATTTATTAATAAAAATTATTACTGTTAATAATTGATAGAATTCTTTCCTCCCTGTGATAGTGATTTAAGTTGAATGAAAATTTAGTAATATAGAGGGATGCATCTTAATATTTATATTTGCTGAACAGTGGTAAATACACAATTAAAACATGTCCTCATTAAAATGGACTTTTGTACACTATAATTTGAATTAAGTAATGAATATATAAAGTATTTAAAAGGTTGTATATCAAAATGTATAACGTTCCATTTTTGGCTATATTTTGTAAAACACTTTTGGTGTAATCAGTATAACATGTGTGAAATCAAGTATTCTACTATTTATTTAAACAGATATATACCTAATGTATTTGGAAGCTTATTGCACTCATATAATTGTATATATTGTGGCTTCAAAAGTCTGTACTTATTCCTGCTTTAAAAAAGTAGTATGTGCATTTATTTCCAATTTATTTTTAATTAATTATATTAAGGATAACATCCTTTACTAAATGTACCTTAAAATTCACAATAAAGTTTCAGAAATTGTTTTGTACAATGTTGAGACTTTGTGTTGAATTTGTTTGTGAATATTTTTTAAAATTGTGCTCTGGTCTTCTAATAAGATACCCGACTTTAATCTTACTGATACATGATGAGTGTGATGGCATGTGATTTGGTAAACAACAAGACCCTGTTCGATTGGGAGGTTGTTCTCCTGAGTGATGATTGCTCACACATGGAACCCATTGCCAGCTGGGCTTCCCTCTTCCCCACCAAAACCTTGGTTACTCATCATGCCTATTTTCAGCATCGGAATGTCAAGTAATTTGCACTTAACTGAGTATTCTAGATAGCAGAAAAACTGTTACAAGAAGGTAATATGGAAAAGATATCTGCAAGTCTATTAAACTCTTTTATGCTCAATTTACAGAAACCGAACATCCATTTAAGAGTAAATGTTTGGTATACATGACTTTTGGCATGCCACTGACAAAGTTAAGGCTAGACTTTTAAATATGGTACATATAAATATATATTTGCTTCATGTTTTCTCACTAAAGGGTAGACGCACTTATTTTGCTAAGAAAATTCAGATTTCTGGGTTAAGCCCTGTACCATCATGAATCACCACAGTCTTTGGTGTTGTTCTATGAAGCCTGCTGGGATCTAACCACCTGGCTATTCTCACAAAGCACTCCATGTACCTCTGCATTGCTGTGTAGGGTGTGTTTGCTTTTGTTAAGTGGTTTTCGCTTTGCTTCCCTAAGAAAAGAAATGGGGAGTTCAATTACATTTACATATCAAGTAACTTTCCCAATTGTGGATTGATTATTTTATTTATGTATTTGTTAAAAACAAATACAAAAATCATTGATACCCTGAAAATATCCCAGAAGGACTCCAGTTTGTAAAGATATTTGTTGATAGAGGAAAAATGGAAACTTACTAATCATAAACGTGGAATGCATGTTTCAGAATTGCTGTTGGTCTTGAAATTACATTTTTTTAAACAAGAGATGTTTAACCTGGTCTTCCCTATTCACTGGTTGTGTTTTGTTTTGTTTGTGCCAATTTTTTTTCACAAAAGGAGAAATTTAGTCAGGTTCATTCGACAAATCAAGTTGAATGAAAATACTGTCAGCTTGCTTTGAGGTTCTGATGCTGCACACAAAACAGAGCGTGTTTGCCCTTTCCATCCATAAATAAAAATAATTTGCATAATGATGTAGTTAAATGTGAAGACTAACAAGAACTGAGGAAGTGACTTGTTGATATCTTAGTTCAGTGTTAAAAAGCCAGGAATTACAAATGCTTTCCTATACAAAATAAGTCATTGCAAATATGCATTTTCTGCCTTTATTAGTTCCTTAAAATTGTTTCCTATTTTAATAGTATCCAGCAGTTCTATCCGTTTCTTTTGTCTTTAATATTTTTTCATGAGATATAATTTCTTACAAAAATTTTTGCTCATTTCTTATAAGTATCCAAATCATTTTCACCACTTAATTACATTTCAAAGATGATTTGGATATTAACTTGGATATTAATATTCAGATACGTATTGGCTAAATATGTATTATTGGTCACATTTTACAAGAAGCAAGTGATTTTTAAATAAGAATGATGAAGTTGGAGAGGAAGGAATGAATTGTTGACTAATCAAGGGTATATTTTGATAAACAATACCAGCTAATTTAGTCTATACTCTTAATTTATTTGATCACTAGAAATATGGTGCTTAATTTTTGAGGTGTATATGTATATGGATATATGTTTATATGCTTATATAACTATATACTCAGTTATAAATCCATTATTATATATAAGCATATAGGCCTAGAATATATTTTATATATAAGTTGAGATTGAAAATTATTGAAACATTAATTCTTCTATACTGTAAAACTTGAGATTTATATTATTCATTAAATATCAAATATAATTTATTATACAATCAAATTTTAATACATATGTTAAAGTGAAACTTACTTTTGATGTCATTTGAAAAATATGTAAACTATCTGTTTTAATTTTTTGAATAGAGATAGTTTTTGATATTATCACTGTTAATTAATATTTTTATTAACCTAAGTTTCTTTTTTTTTTTGAGTTGGAGTCTCACTCTGTTGCCCAGACTGGAGTGTAGTGGCCGCTCCCAGCCACCACAGCCTCGACCTGCTGGGCTCCGGCGATCCTTCCGCCTCAGCCTTCCCAGTAGCTGGAATTACAGGCACGCGCTACCACGCCTGGCTGATTTTTTGATTTATTGTAGAGATGAAGTCTCCTTGCCCAGGCGGTCCCGAACCCGCGGGTTCAGGCAGTTCACTCACCTCAGTCTCCCAAAGGCGCGGGATTACAGGCTGAGTCACCGAGCCGGCTAACCTAAGTTTCATAGGCTAAAGTCATGATTGTTTTTACCATAGCCATTTTTGCCATTTAAATATATTTCCTATCACATAGCCACCAACATTTAGTTTTCAAAAATGTTCAAGTAACAATTTATTCATATGAACATATGAACAAATTCAGAATTTTCAAATTAGTTTAATCATTAAGCTAATCACTTTTCTTTTGTTCACATTAAAATACTATGACAGTCCAAAAAATAAGGTGATTCTGTATTTCATTTATTTAATAAGTATTTCTTCATCACCTATATTATGGTGTGTGTATTTTGCTAAATGGATCTTTCTGCATAGTTTGAAGTGTTTTACTATGCCACACTTAGCAACCTTCTGAATAGAAGACTTGCGATGTGAATATTTGTTTTGGTGGAAGAGGGGCTAAAACTGGAAATTGTGTATGCAAAATGGAATGTAATAACACACTGCAAATTCAAAAGAAACCTGGCAGAATTCCTGGTACACAGTAAGCACTCAGTAAATACTCTTTAGATAAATGAATGACAGGAGACTCTTCATGATGAATTTCTTTTTAAAATGTTTATAAGCTATAGTAATTTTTACTTTTTTCAAAAAAAATTTTAGATAATTTTGTTATAGGATAAATGCACATTATGATCAATATTAGTACACTCATTTATTTTTTGTCTTAACATACTTGCAAGATAGAACAAAGAGTATTCTCTTTATAATGGGAAAAGTAACATATAATATTTGTCTCTATGTTTTGTTTTATTATTAAAAATCTGTGTTTAAAATAAATCAATGCTCTTTGTAGTTAAGAAAAATAGTTGGACAACTATTTGCCATTTTGAGTGTAAATATATATTTAATAAAATGCTTTTTATTTCAAAATACCAAAAACAATGAATGTGAAAAAACTTTTATTTTCTTTTGTTCAATAACCATGTTACTTTCTTAGCATTATTAGTTCATGTCTTGTAGAGAAGTGTAAAAATCTTAGAATTAATTCATTTATAGATCATAACTATTGATACATTTAAGAGACTGTTCTTAAATATTTGTATTAAATGAATGCATATAATATTGTGCCTTTTATAATTACTTATTTTTATCATTTTGAAAATATGCAATAGCCTTAGACATATAAATGGTTACCAGTATAACACGTATACTTTCTACTTCATTTATTTATTTATTTTTTTTTTTTTTATTTTTTGAGTTGGAGTCTCACTCTGTCACCCAGACTGGAGTGCAGTGGCCGCTCCCGGCCACCGCAGCCTCGACCTGCTGGGCTCCGGTGATCCTTCCGCCTCAGCCTTCCAAGTAGTCGGAATTACAGGCATGCGCTACCACGCCTGGCTGATTTTTTGATTTATTGTAGAGATGAGGTCTCGAACCCGCGGACTCAGGCAATCCACTCACCTCAGCCTCCCAAAGGTGTGAGATTACAGGCTGAGCCACGGAGCCCGGCTATATTTTCTACTTTAAATATTTCATTTAAAATGGAAAGTTCTGAAACTTTTTGTGTTATGGCCTCCTTTGAGTATAATTTAAAAGATATAGGCTTCCTCTCCAGAAAAAAATTTTATACATATGTATATATATATACACACATATGTATATAATTTTTTTTAAATTGTAAATCAAAGTATCCACAGACTTTGTAAAGGCCATCTATAAAATCTTCCCAGAGCCTGTGGCCCTGGGTAACAATCAAATAAAAAGTTATTGGACTCTCAGTGCAACTCTTAATAAATATGCTTTGAAAATAGCTAGGAGTATTTCAAATAAAAAGAATTTAATATTCTTTTCTCAGCACTAGCTATTTTTTCAAAAATGAACTTTCTTTGTAACCAGTTCCTCCTACCAAAATGGCTAAAACCTCAAAACAGTTTAGCTTCCTTATCTTGTGCAGTATAAAATGAGGTAACACATTAAAGACATACATTTTGCCATAGGAATGAATGCATTGATTATATTAATGAAATGCTCTTTATCGAATATATAATTGATGCTGTTAGCAGACATGCAAATATGCAGCCAGAAAGAGCTAGCCAAATGGAATAGGGCAGCTTTAAATTTAAACTCCTTTTGATGTATGCAGTCCTCATTATTTGTTAAATTTTATTTCTTTTTTATATTTTGTCCGTTGTCCTTTCACTGCTCTAAGGTTGCACAGATAATTCCTATGGAGTGACAGGACAATGGTATAATTTCCTATTCATGCTCACATTTCCAACCTAGACTTTGCCTGGCATTTTCTTTCTTCTTACAAAGATAGTAATTAAAACAACACCTTTTTTTCTTCAATAACTATATAAGCTTATAAATTAATCTCACATAAAATAGTGTTTGAGCACCACAAAAATATGTAAATTTGATTTCTATCCCCATTTCTGTGGACATTAAAGCTTAGTGTTTAAGCCTTTTTCAAGGTCACACAGCCCCTATTTGGCTCAACTAGGAATTTTTTTTTTTTTAATCTAACACTCATCCCAACAATCAGGATTGATTTGAAAAAGAGTCAAAGACAATGAAATGAAAAATTTACATAAGCATACATCAAAATACACTGGCCCAGAATTCATTTTTGAAATATGTATAAAATTTTGTTATTTTTAATATTTTCACAGCATTTTTCATATATTGGAGATGCTTTTCTCAGTACATTTTTACTACATGTGGTTTT